ATACTTTATCATAACCTATAGTCATTTTTTCTCAGGTTATCCTTATCGTTAATTCAGACAAAAAGAGCTAGAAAAAGCTGGAACTTTGGTTTAAGATTTACATACAGCTCGTCAAATGTGGCCTTCCTAAGTATGAATTAGTCAGCATCTGACAATTAATCAAATGATACCTTGTCAAACTCAACTGTCATAGAGCCAATGTGTCAACCTTATTGAGTGGCTGTTTCTACAGTAGTGTGAGGAAAAATTCAATAGCGCTGCATTGATAAAACGAGATGATAGCAAATCTGGCTAATTCACCGTTTGCTGAGATAAGCGAAAAAGGGTATGAGTGAACGAATATTCGCGATTTAACAAATTTAAGATTACAGGAGAGATTATAGTGCAAAATGGATGCGTAATTTGCAATTAGCATGTCAAATAACTTCAGTAGACCCCTTTTTATGTGGATCCGCAACTTTGACCTACCTACAGTACATCTGTCTACAATGGGCCTCTGCAGTGCAAAATGTCCGCGTGATCAGCACTTCAAATAAGTCAACTTGACAAAGTCTCGGCGAAATCCGAGACTTTCTTAGCGACAAGAATCTTGAACTGTATCGATCGATGACGTCACACTGTTATGCTCAAGACAGCATGGACACTAATTTTTGACCCAAAATGTCAAAACTTCACATTTCATTGAAACTTCGCCTATTGGGTTTACTTACCATGCTGATCATTAATATCTTATCAGCTTCACGCGGTAGGGCCTTACTGTGGGGTTACGGTAAGTGCACGATCGGAGGTCAAAATTACGAATTTGCCCGGAAATTGGTCTACCGTGGTTATTTAATACAATTTAATATACTGGAAGATTCCTCTCAATGAGCTGAGTCTAAGCCGTTTTCCCCTTCAAAAATATCTATTTTGAAAGAAGTTATGACGATGCGATGCTTTGCGACGGATTTTTATGTGAAATCACGTTTTTTTGCAGAAGTTATGAGCGGTATTGTACTTGAGCTAGAAGGTCACTATAGCATCAACCTGAGCAACTGTTAGCTTGTGATAGTAGTGACTACTCAGTGTCCATTCAAATGCAGAAATTTTACGCTTATGAGACCTAAGAGGAGTTGACGTTGCATATTGTGGGTCATGTTTTCCAGTATCTGAACGATACTTATACAGCGCAAGCTTATATTACCGTCTTTCAGGTGCATGGTTTAGGTCACTGTGGCCGTTTGAGACGAAATTCAGCACTCGAATCGCCCTTAAACTCTGATTTCTATTACCCAGATATGAGAGCTCTGTGGTTTTTTTTTCATTAGTTCGCGTAGATCCACAACACTTGCTACATCACGTCGCCCATTTTGTCTCTGGACTGCTCAAGTCTGTCAAAGTCTTCTTCCGTCGATATGTAAGAGAACGATGAACTTG